AAAAAAAAAATTTTGAATTTACTTACTTGTAGCCGGAGTTAGAGGCGGTCGGATACTTATGACCGCTACTGTAATAAATAAAAAAAATAGCTGCACATAAAACTCTTTGCTTTTAAACCACAACGATTCTTTTCTAACAGTAACGAAGGGTTTTGTAACGAAGGGTAGAGTTTTATACTGTTTGTCTCTGACTTTTTTGCTACTAGAGTTTAAGAAGAGAAGTTGTTTTTTTTTTCTAATCTGCAAAGGGTTTAAATTTGAAGGATTTTTTCTTTAAAGGTTCGAAATCTTTTGTTGTTCTTCTAGCATTTTTTGTTCTTTATATTTTTTTTTGAAGAGAAAAGTTTGAAAGTCATTTTTCTTTGAAGTCCTCTTTACTGGTATTGACAATTTGCTCCTTTCTTTTAAGTTTTTTTTTTCCAAAGTTTTTTTTTCTTTGGAGTTTTTTTTTCCTCTGAAAATTCTTTCCAATTTTTTTGAAGTTTTCTTGACCAGTGATATTCCTTAAAGTTCTTTCTCTGAAGTTTTTTTTTTCTTTCAGAGTTTTTTTTTCCTTCCAAAAATTCTTTCTCCAATTTCTTTGACCGGTGGTGTTCTGAATTTTTTTTGAGCTTTTTTTTCTCAAAAATTTTTAGTACCACTTCAATATCTATTGCAAGTAATAAATAACCACTTCATCTACTTTAATATTATAAACATGCTTACCTCTGAAACCTTCATGGTAGGTTTTTATTTGCTTGTCAAACATTCATGTTTTTTTACTTTTTGTGTCTACGTTAATCATGTTCTGTGATGCTGCACCCTTTATAGAACCCATCAATAATAATAATGATGAAGAAGAGTATGTTTTTAGAGATGTATTAGGCTCTAAATTTGAAGGTTATAATGGTATTTTTCACCAATTAATACTCTGATTGAAATTGAATTGGAAACTAAGTTTCACTCTATAGAAATCACAGTATATTTTATAGAATAATACGCTCTTTAAAATAACTTTGCTGTCTTTAAGTACAAGACTGAAAAATTTTCAGATGGTATTTATAGAAAAAGGGTATTTAAGTGTGATTTGGGAGGAAGATATGTTGAAAAACATTCAAGACTGATATTAGGTAAAGAAAAGAGCAAAGGAAGCAAAAAACAAGGCTGTATGTGGCAAGTAAATATTAATAGACGATCAAATTCACTAATAGCAACTGTAATGTCATTTAATAATGAACACAACCATGAGAATTCTATTGAAACTGTGAAATTTTCTATCACTTACAAAAATTTTTTTGAAGAAATCATGGAACTGATAGAATTTTATGTTGTGCATGGCTGATATGATGCAAGAACAATTAGGAACCTCCTTCAACTAAAGTATTCTGATCATGTGTTTCTTACTCAAGACCTAGGAAATACAATTTAAAAAATTAAACGAGAAAAGGGATTGAATTTAGGGGAAATAGCATCTTTATTAATGAAGCTTCTTGAATTGCAAGCTAATGATCCTGCATAATTTGTAAAGCCATTAATAGATGACACAAGTAACTGGTTAGTTAGTATTTTCTAGATGTCACCAGAGCAGTGTGAAAGGTGGACAAAATTTTATGATATCATTATTCACGACAACACTGCAAGAATGAATAAATATAACTATCCGTTAAGTCTCTTCATATTAATTGATAACTATAATAAGAGTAGATTGGCAGCTCAAGCATTTATGTAGGATGAAAGACAAGAATCATATGAATAGTTACTTCGATGTTGTCTTAAAGCATGTGAAATTCCTCTATTAACATTTGTTACTGATGCTGATCCCACAATAATTGCAGCCATTTCTATAGTATTTTCAGAGACTCATCATATGCAATGTTTATACTATCTCTATCAAAATCTTCCAAAAAACCTTCATTCATATTTAGGATTATCACTTTATTAGGAATTCCTTAAAGATTTTAAAGGAATTTAACGCTCTTATTGCGAAAATGTATTTGAAAAATAAACCAAAGGGATAGTTGAAAAATATGAGGCAGGAAGCAAATATATAATCACAATGCTATTGAATCGAAAGTATACTTGAGTAAAATGCTTTACATCACGACATTTTACAGCGGGAACGCAATCTACACAACGTGTGAAATCAGAAAATGCATTAATAAAAAAGGCCATGCAGTCAAGTTTTTCTCTCTTACAAGTTCAAGAATCTCTTAAAAATCAGTTAGAATTTTAGTCAATTAACAATCGTTATTCAATTTGGAAAGCTTCAACATTATAGTACATACAACCTTTCATCATACAAACATTCTTTAGTAGCATTAATAGTATTATAAATAAATATCTCACACAGCTGATTTACGATGCATATTATAAACAATTGTGTTAATCATGCACATTAAGTACAATTTTCTGAAATTCCAGTATTAGATGATGGTTCATTTGAACTTTTCTTTGATAAAGTAGAAGATTTTGCTGAATCTCTTATTGAAACTGATGAAGATCAGGAGTCTTTAATTTCAATGGTTAATTTTAATGATATTTTAGAAGTTTGAAAGATTTTTCGATACAATTACCTGAAATGCTATCAATATGTAATTCTACTTAATACCAGAAAATACTTATGCACTTGTTTTATGCTTGTCACTTATGGTATTATATGCAGGCATTTCTTTAAAGTGTTTGTTAAATCTTCTAATACATGTTTTCATTTGACATTGATTTCTAAGCATTGGTATAAGGATGAATATATTAATTTAAGCGATACCTGTTCTAGTGAGACAATTATAAGTAATGGCTAAAATGATCAAAATAGTGCGCAAATCACTTTAGAATTTGCCTGAAAATATACTATAAATGATCTTTTAAAAGATATTCCAAGCAAATATCACGAAATCAATTAAAATTTGGTATTCTAATGAGCGAAACCAAAAAGGCAATTCAATTTGCAATTTAAGATAATGATGAAGAACTGATTCAGTTTATTAAGAATTTTAATAAAAGAAAAGAAGTTCAACTAATTCAAGCAGAATCAATTAAGCAACAAAAAACTTTAGCGGATAGAAAAATGAATGACAATCAGGTCTTTTGTAATACAAAAGAAGTATTGATCGATTCTAATTAAATCTTAGATCTATTGAAACGTTAAGCCTAAAGGAAGACCACTAACAAAATAGTTGAAGCCATCTGTTGAAAAATCGGATTTAAAAGGCAAAGGTAGAAATGAACAAGCAATATCTGATAAATATCATAAGTGTAACTCATATGAGGAATATGGTCATTATCGTAGTACTTGTTCTAAGGGTTAGGTTACAATACTTAATCACGTGTTTATAATGTGAGATCAAAGTGTTATTTTATTAGTTTCACTTAGTAATAGCATAAGATTGTGTTAATCTTATAGTAATAGCATGTTTGTGATATTTTGGCTTTAATTGTTACATTTATTTGGTGCAAGATTTAAACAATAAATATTGATAAATGCTATTTTTTTTATAATAATTGTTGTTAATAAAAAATGCATACAAAAAAAATTATAAGGGGTGAAAAATAATTTATCTCATCTAGGGTGAGAAATAAATTTACTCATAAAATTATAAAAAAAAAAATTATATATAAAAAAAAAGTAAAGGAAATAATAATGTAAAATAAAATAATATTTTTTATTATATTAATAAAATAATATTATTTTATAGTATATTAGCTTTAAGAAATTAAAATAATATTAAATTTAAATGAATAAAAAATTGTTATTTAAGATAGATTAGTAAATTATTAATAATAATAACTAATTTAATTTGATAATAATAGTATTTTAAAACTATTATATAATATAAATTATAAAATAAAAAATATATAATTTGTTTAAAAAATAATTATTAGAGTAGATTATATAAACTATAAGATAAATAATCAATAAATATTAAGATATATTTATTATTTTCATTATAATATTAATAATTAATAAAATATTTAATTATTAGTAAAATCTTTTAAAAGAAAATCAAAGATTTTTTAAATAGATATCTTATTTCAGGTTCAGTTATAATAAGATATTTGTTATTAATTGACTAATAATTTTATTTCAAATTTTTCTTTTCTTCAAATATTTTTACATTTATATTTAAAATAATTTTAATCTAAAAATTTATACTATATAATAAAATCACTATTAGATAAAAAAAATATTAAAACTAAAATTAAAGTTTAATATATTTACTAGAAATTTTAAATTTTATAGAGTTTTATCATTGAAATCTGAGGTTTTACTTATAACTTAATTAAAATAAAATTTAAATAAAAACTAGTATATCAAAAATTTAATTATTATATTAAATTAGAATATCTCAAGATTATTACTATTCTTCATTTGTGATTTATAATCTCCATAAATACTATAACTTATATATATTTTTAATATTTATGAGAACATTATTTGTACATTTTAGATAAATTTTAATTTACTTTTTTTTACTTTGATAAAATATATCATTTATTATACTGCATGATTAAGGAATATGAAAATAGTATAGTGAAAATATTTGAAGGAATATTAGTAGAAATACCAAAAAATTTTTAGTTAAATTAATTAAAAAGTGATATGAAATAGTATTAAAAAATAAATTCAAAACTTTAAATATTAGCCAATAGCGAAAAAATAAAAACTATATATAAATATTACTTTTGTTTTATTATGAAAAAATATTAATAATATTTTTATAATATTTATATACTATGTTATATAATTGATTTTCTTAATTGCATTTGATGAAAATGATTAAATCTTTACTCAAAAATAATATTATTAAGCAATTTTTTTTTTCCATAAAATTGTTATTTTCAAATCATAACCTATATATCAATTATCAGATAAAAATTTTATATTATCAAAATTAAAAAAAAAAATGTATAAGTATTATTATATATGTAATAAATAAATTAAATTAAGATAAATATTATTTTTGTGTAAAAATATTACTTATTATAGTAAATTAATCATCTCAGAAATAGATTATTTAATTATACTAAAAGATATATAGAAGTGTTTCTAGAAAAATCAGGTTCTGAGAAATTTTTGATTAAAATTAAAAGCTTAATACATTTTAATCTAATAATATCAAAAACTAAAATATAATAAAAATCTCAATTTCGTTAAAAAATTCCCAGAACCTGATTTTCTTAGCAATCAACCTATATGTAGATTTGACTTTAATAAAACTTTTTTATTTAATATTTAAATAACAGTATTATATTACTCTTTTATTATACTTTATATATTAAAAAAAGATGTATATATATTGTTAACATTGAAAATTTATCCAAAAAAATGATTTATAAAGTCGTTAGATTTAATTTTATATAGATCATATTAAGAAAGATCTTATATTATACCATCAATATACTGCAGTAGAAAATCAGACTGATTTATTTAATTTGTAAGATTTACAAAATTTATTTGATTTATCTGATTTATTTGATTAGCTTATTTTATTAAATTCTTTACATATTTATTATTTTTATTATAATTATTATTTTTATTATTTCTTTTATTTTTATC